GTCTATCTGGGAGAGGCTGATGGAGAGATCTCTGTCTGGGAGAGACTGATGAAGACACTGTTAGACTCTCATATATCTGGGAGAGACTGATGGAGACACTGTTAGACTCTTATCTATCTGGGAGAGACTGATGGAGACACTGTTAGACTCTCTTCTATCTGGGAGAGACTGATGGAGACACTGTTAGACTCTCCTTTATCTGGGAGATTCTGATAGAGAAACTGTTAGACTCTCATCTGTCTGGGAGAGACTGATGGAGACACTGTTAGACTCTCCTTTATCTGGTAGAATCTGATAGAGAAACTGTTACTCTCATCTAACTGGGAGAGACTGACAGAGACACTGTTAGACTCTCCTTTATCTGGAAGAGACTGGTGAAGACACTGTTAGACTCTCATCTATCTGGAAGAGACTGTGAGAGACACTGTTAGACTCTCATCTATCTGGGAGAGACTGTGAGAGACACTGTTAGACTCTCATCTATCTGGGGGAGACTGTGGGAGACACTGTTAGACTCTAATCTATATGGGAGAGACTGTGAGAGACACCGTTAGACTCTCATCTATCTGGGAGAGACTAAAAGAGACACTGTTAGACTCTCATCTATCTGGGAGAGACTGAGAGAGACACTGTCAGACTCTCATCTATCTGGGAGAGACTGAGAGAGACACTATTAGACTCTCATCTATCTGGGAGAGACTGATGGAGACACTGTTAGACTCTCCTTTATCTGGGAGATTCTGATAGAGAAACTGTTAGACTCTCATCTGTCTGGGAGAGACTGATGGAGACACTGTTAGACTCTCCTTTATCTGGGAGAATCTGATTGAGAAACTGTTACTCTCATCTATCTGGGAGAGACTGACAGAGACACTGTTAGACTCTCCTTTATCTGGAAGAGACTGATGGAGACACTGTTAGACTCTCATCTATCTGGGAGAGAATGTGAGAGACACTGTTAGACTCTCATCTATCTTGGAGAGACTGTGAGAGACACTGTTAGACTCTCATCTATTTGGGGGAGACTGTGGGAGACACTGTTAGACTCTAATCTATTTGGGAGAGACTGTGAGAGACACTGTTAGACTCTCATCTGTCTGGGAGAGACTAAAAGAGACACTGTTAGACTCTGATCTATCTGGGAGAGACTGAGAGAGACACTGTTAGACTCTCATCTATCTGGGAGAGACTGATGAAGACACTGTTAGACTCTGCTTTATCTGGAATAGACTGATGGAGACACTGTTAGACTCTCCTCTATGTGGGAGAGATTGATAGAGACACTGTTAGACTCTCCTCTATCTGGGAGAGACTGATAGAGACACTGTTAGACTCTCCTTTATCTGGGAGAATCTGATAGAGACACTATTAGACTCTCCTTTATCTGGGAGAGATTGATAGAGACACTGTTAGACTCTCCTTTATCTGGGAGAGACTAATGAAAACACAGTTAGACTCTCCTTTATCTGGGAGAGATTGATAGAGACACTGTTAGACTCTCCTTTATCTGGGAGAGACTGATAGAGACACTGTTAGACACTCCTTTATCTGTGAGTGATTGATAGAGACACTGTTAGACTCTCCTTTATCTGGAAGAGACTGATAGAGACACTGTTAGACTCTCCTTTGTCTGGGAGAGATTGAAAGAGACACTGTTAGACTCTCCTTTATCTGGAAGAGACTGATAGAGACACTGTTAGACTCTCATCTATCTGGGAGAGACTGATTAAGACACTGTTAGACTCTCATCTATCTGGGAGAGTCTGATTAAGACACTGTTAGACTCTCATCTATCTGGGAGAGACTGATTAAGACACTGTTAGACTCTCATCTATCTGGGAGAGACTGATAGAGACACTGTTAGACTCTCATCTATCTGGGAGAGACTGATTAAGACACTGTTAGTCTCTCATCTATCTGGGAGAGACTGATTAAGACACTGTTAGACTCTCATCTATCTGGGAGAGATTGATGGAGACACTGTTAGACTCTCGTCTATCTGGGAGAGACTGATGGAGACACTGTTAGACTCTCATCTATCTGGGAGAGACTCATGGAGTCACTGTTAGACTCTCATCTATCTAGGAGAGACTGATGAAGACACTGTTAGACTCTCATCTATCTGGGAGAGACTGATGGAGACACTGTAAGACTCTTATCTATCTGGGAGAGACTGATAGAGACACTGTTAGACTCTCCTCTATCTAGGAGAGACTGATAGAAACACTGTTAGACTCTCATCTATCTGGGAGAGTCTGATGGAGACACTGTTAGACTCTCATCTATCTGGGAGAGTCTGATAGAGACACTGTTAGACTCTAATCTTTCTGGGAGAGACTGATGGAAACACTGTTAGACTCTCCTCTATCTGGGAGATTCTGATTAAGACACTGTTACATTCTCCTCTATCTGGGAGAGGCTGATGAAGACACTGTTAGACTCTCATCTATTTGGGAGAGTCTCATAAAGACACTGTTAGAATCGCATCTATCTGGGAGATTCTGATTAAGACACTGTTAGATTCTCCTCTATCTGGGAGAGGCTGATGAAGACACTGTTAGACTCTCATCCATCTGGGAGAGGCTGATGAAGACACTGCTAGACTCTCATCTATCTGGGAGAGACTGAGGAAGACACTTAGACTCTTATCTATCTGGGAGAGGCTGATGGAGACACTGTTACTCTCATCTATCTTGGAGAGACTGATGAAGACACTGTTAGATTGTTATCTATCTGGGAGAGGCTGATGAAGACACTGTTAGACTCTCATCTACCTTGGGGAGGCTGATGAAGACACTGTTAGACTGTTATCTATCTTGAAGAGACTGATGAAGACACTTAGACTCTGATCTATCTGGGAGAGGCTGATGAAGACACTGTTAGACTCTCATCTATCTTCGAGAGACTGATGAAGACACTGTTAGACTCTCATCTATCTGGGAGAGATTGATGGAGACACTGTTAGAATATCATCTTTCTGAGAGAGACTGCTGAAAACACTGTTAGAATCTCATCTATCTGGGAGAGACTGATGAAGACACTGTTAGACTCTCATTTATTTGGGAGAGTCTCATAAAGACACTGTTAGAATCGCATCTATCTGAGAGAGGCTGATGAAGACACTGTTAGACTCGCATCTATCTGAGAGAGACTGCTGAAAACACTGTTAGAATCTCATCTATCTGGGAGAGACTGATGAAGACACTGTTAGACTCTCATCTATTTGGGAGAGTCTCATAAAGACACTGTTAGAATCGCATCTATCTGAGAGAGACTGATGAAGACACTGTTAGACTCTCATCTATTTGGGAGAGTCTGATTAAGACACTGTTAGACTCTCATCTATCTGAGAGAGGCTGATGAAGACACTGTTAGACTCGCATCTATCTTTGAGAGACTGATGAAGACACTGTTAGACTCTCATCTATCTGGGAGAGTCTGATGGAAAGACTTGTCTACACGGCCAGGTAAGGATAAGTCCTGAATGGATTCTCGTCTCTCTGGGAGAGGCTGATGTAGAAACGACCAGGTAGTTTGTTTTAGTATCCAGAAGCCATGAGTTGTTAACTCTTAGGCTCGGTACTATGGATATCACAACATTTCGGCCTTGATTCCATTGTAAATACCGTAAATCTGGGAGAAATGTGGCTTTCCTGTCTACCCCCGGGATTGAACCCGGACCTCAAGGAGTTCGTCACCCCGTCTCCGCGCAATCCGGTTTAGCCAACTACGCTAGCAGGTAAAGATGGGTTCTGAATGGATTCTTGTCTCTCTGTGAGAGGCTGATGTAGAGACGACCAGGTACAGATGGGTTCTGACATGGATTCTTGTCTACGTGGGAGCAGAGATACGTCACTGTATTCTTGTTACGACTGTTCCTATACAAATAATTAGGTGTGGGGGGGGGGGGGGGGAGATTAGGGGTGGGCTCTGGTCCCTGAGTCCCAGGCTCGAGAAATTAAGGGGATGAGTTCAGCCAATATCCTCAGTCTGTTATTGGGAAAACTTGTCTGCATGCCCAGCTTCTACAGGGATGTGTTGCAGAGATTCCCTTTCCCTCGTAAACCACAAAAACACATACGGGCTCGTGGGCAGCAAACTACATTGCAAGCCGATGATGCGCTAGAAGTACCTGTTTTGTGTCGCTGAAATGTTTAGTGATTTGCTTTCTGAAACGTGGCTTTTTGCGTCACTGGCTGTCAATCTGTGTGTCCGAAACCTAGGTGCTCAGGTCCCGAGAATGGCAAATAAATAGACAATTATATGTGAAGAAGAATGAAATTTATATCACATATTTAGAGAGACAGTTTATATACATGGGTAAAGACACCAATTCTAAGTCTCCATACACAATTATAGGGGAGGCAGCCCCTTCCCCTTCCATTTATTTTTTTATGTCTTTTTTGAGTGATTGGATTCCCTTTCCCAATGTGTTGCCCAGAAAAGTTGTAATAGTGAGAGCAGATGAGGTCGACGCGTCTTTTCCCCCCGGCCCTCCCCCACCCGTTTTCTCAAATCCCCTCAACTTTCTTGCCATTTGAAATTAATTATTGTTTGTTTTGCTGTTCACGGACATGATTCCCACTCACAGTTTTGACTTTTGAATCCTTCATGAGACCTACAACCAGTGCTGCCAATTATAAGTTTTACCCCAAGATTTGGGTTTTTTTTTTTTTTTTTTTTTTTTTTGACGTTTTGGGTTCAAATTTTAAAATCCGGGGTTTTCAAAAGATATATCATTAGATAAAAGTGGGTAAATGTTCTATTTCGTAACTAAAAAAATGTGTACTTCTCAACAATGGGGAAGAGTGGGGGGGGGAGGGGGGGGGGGGTGTTTGGTTCTATGCATTGCTTGGGTTTTTTGTTTAGCTAACTGGGTTTTTACAAAAAAAATCACATTGGCAGCCCTGCATTCAACTCGACTTCCGGCAAGACGTGTGTAAAAAAATTAACCTTGGTTAGTGTTTCACTCCACAGTTTTGTCTTCTGTCACACAGACAATGGTGTTCCTGACCTGGAGGCTGCTTTTGCGAAAGAAAGTGATGGTAGCCAATCCCGAGAAAGCATGGAAAAAAGAATTGCAGAAGAGGCTGGCATGGGTAGGTTGGTTAGTGATAGTCGGTAACTTACTACTTAGAGTCAGTTATTTTAAAGTCCACAAAATGGAGAACTGGACGACGAACAACCACAGTCAGAACTTGTCGTTTCACCTAAGTTTAGTTACAGCTGGTGAACACGATGCCGAGGAACCATTTATTGTTATTGATCAATAAAATATATTTGTTCTTGGTCTACCTCTTGCTCTACTTCACTTCCCTTTCCTCTTGGGGTAAATAGTCATGATCTTGTATGGTAATGTAAATGTAATTTAATAAAGCATCAGAAGTCATTTTCTCCAAGTGGGCAAACCATTTGATTTGTTGTTTTTGTATGTAACCAATTCTAAACTACCTGTGGATAATATAATTTGTTTAACTTCTGATTATGCATCACCATCTGGCCAGTCCCTACACTCACGACCGAAAGTGATGAGAACCCTACATAGGTCTGAAACTTGCTTGGGCACTTTGACCCACTCTTCTCCTCGCCCAAATTCATCAAGCCTGCACACAAGTCTAATAACTGTGTCTATCTTCAGCTTGCGCCATCCAAGACTTTTCTTTTTTCAGTCTGTGACCCTTAACTGTACCCAGGGCTTCATGCAGTAGGTGCCTCTTGTCTGCAGCTACTCTGAGATATGACTTTGTTCGCAAAACTTGAAGGCTATCTGCAGTAGTAGGCAGTGCAAGTTTATATCACGTTCATACCTCTTATCAAGGCTACAGGCCTCCTGACTGAAGGATCAGAGAGTTGAGAAGCTGAATAATCTGTTTAATATTAATTCCTATAATGGAAATGGCTTTAGTTGTCTCTTTGTTTCATAAAACTATAAAACCAGTTACAAATTAAAAGTTCTAGAACCAAAGTTCCACCATACATTCAAGGAAAGATATAAAACTGAACAAAAAGTAGATCAATGAGCTTCACAATATAACAGACAAAACGTTCATGTTGCGTCTGCAGATCCTTCATCAGCACATACATAAACCACACAACTACAGAAAATCCCTTGACATCCTGAAGCAGCCACGTTGATCTGATGCCAGTAGAATGAAGAGACATGTTGGGCCCAGGAATGCCAAGGGCCGTAAATTGAGAACTTTAGTTAAAACTGTGTTGAAAATTTAGTCCCCTACATGTTAAGGTGCATAAGGTGAAAATAAAATGATTTTCAAGAGACTTGCAGACTCTGTCACTGGAGTGGCTACAATCCTTAATTTCACCATACATTGAAGGATGTTATTGGCTTTCCCATGCATCTCCTCTATTTTATAATTTCTAAATGTAGATGATATTTTAAAATTTCTAAATGTAGATGAAAACTGGCTTACAGTAGGTTATCTTTAAGCTGAACTTCATCATTTCTTATCCCCGCCAGTGTTCCAGGGCTCCATTATGGGGAAAACAAGATTAGACCCACTACCTCCCCAACAAGCATGGCATAGAAGTCAGCTAATTGGGGGCCTCTTTCGATGTCAGCGTGTATCTGCCCGAGAGGCCTAAAACAACCAGCTGACACAAATAAGCCAGTAAAATAGATGTACACACAAAACTCAAGCCTCGGCACAAAGCCAAATCCAAGAGATATCTCTGTGCAGTGAAGATGATCCTTCAAGGAGACCACTCCATACCAGTTTTTGTGGGTATTATTTCATCAACTCCAAGGGCAAGAGCTCAATTGTTACAGCTTTAGTTTGTATTGTTTCAGCAACTCCAAGAGTGTGTGCTCAATTGTTAAGATTTCATTTGTATTATTTCATCAACTCCAAGAGCACAGTTGTTGAGATTTTTGGGTATTGTTTCAGCAACTCCAAGAGTGTGTGCTCAGTTGTTCAGATTTTGTTTGTATTGTTTCAGCAACTCCAAGAGTGTGGGCTCAGTTAAGATTTTGTTTGTATTGTTTCAGCAACTCCAAGAGTGTGTGCTCAGTTGTTCAGATTTTGTTTGTATTGTTTCAGCAACTCCAAGAGTGTGTGCTCAGTTGTTCAGATTTTGTTTGTATTGTTTCAGCAACTCCAAGAGTGTGTGCTCAATTGTTCAGATTTTGTTTGTATTGTTTCAGCAACTCCAAGAGTGTGTGCTCAGTTAAGATTTTGTTTGTATTGTTTCAGCAACTCCAAAAGTGTGTGCTCAATTGTTCAGATTTTGTTTGTATTGTTTCAGCAACTCCAAGAGTGTGTGCTCAATTGTTCAGATTTTGTTTGTATTGTTTCAGCAACTCCAAGAGTGTGTGCTCAGTTGAGATTTTGTTTGTATTGTTTCAGCAACTCCAAAAGTGTGTGCTCAATTGTTCAGATTTTGTTTGTATTGTTTCAGCAACTCCAAGAGTGTGTGCTCAATTGTTCAGATTTTGTTTGTATTGTTTCAGCAACTCCAAGAGTGTGTGCTCAGTTAAGATTTTGTTTGTATTGTTTCAGCAACTCCAAAAGTGTGTGCTCAATTGTAAAGATTTTGTTTGTATTGTTTCAGCAACTCCAAGAGTGTGTGTTCGAGTGTTCAGATTTTGTTTGTATTGTTACAGCAACTCTAAGGACGAGTGCACTGTTGTTACAGCTTTAGTTTGTATTGTTTCAGCAACTCCAAAAGTGTGTGCTCAATTGTTAGGATTTTGTTTGTATTATTTCATCAACTCCTAGAGCACAGTTGTTGAGATTTTTTGGGTATTGTTTCAGCAACTCCAAGAGTGTGTGCTCAGTGAAGATTTTGTTTGTATTGTTTCAGCAACTCTTAAGGACGAGTGCACTGTTGTTACAGATTTTGTTTGTATTGTTTCAACCCCACAACAACGAGTGCGCAATTAATACAGATTTTGTTTATATTGTTTCAGCACCTCCGAGGACGAGTGCGCAATTGTTACAAGCTGACACGTAATGCAGTAAACCATTCTTTAAAGAATTCTACAACATGTAGAAGCTTGCGACGAAATTCAATCAATAAAGTAGGTTCATTTCTCATTGTCTGGCAGAAATCTGGTGACACTTGTCATTGTGCTTGATCAGAAGGCAGTGGGTGAGTGTCCACAGCTTCTCTGCTTCCACCGCCTGTCAACCACTGTGGCGGAAAGTCCTGGTTGTCTGATCCATCTTTGGTCTTTTGTTAGTTCACAGAATTGTGGTCCAATGATCTCATATCCATGACCATAATAGTTGTGTGATTAGCTAGTTAAACTTGTAGATTATCCTCTTGGAGGTTATTTGGCTCCATTAAAGGGCAAACAAACAAGAATAGACGCACTGCCTCCCCAGCAAACATGTTGTCAGAGTCAACTAGCTGGAAGCTTCCTTTAAAGTTGGAGATGTGAGTAACCAGCAGTCTGCATTCAAATAATCAGATATGTAAAACGAATGTGCACGCAGCACTCAGGTTTTGGTACAAGACTGAAGTCCAGATGGGGACAAACAGCTGGTGAACACATAGAACATGTAGCCATATGCTTTTCCAGCTGAAGATGGACTGAGACTGACTACTTTGTGTCATGCCTGGCTGTTGCTAGCACCAATGGGGAAATGAACAAACCTGTAATCCAAACAGTTGCTGTTGAGAGTGGTTGATTGTGTACTTAGTTGTAAAGGATTCATTGATTTCTATTTAATTGTTACTCTAGCATCCACCTGGCCAGATACATGAAATATGCCAGGCAATAAATTGTGCAATCTTATGTTTGTGTCTGCTTTGTTCAGACATAAAGTGTTAAACGTTGACAGAGACTACTTTTTGTGTGCTTTGTGTTTGTGCTTAGTACTCATACATCACAGGCTTCAAACAAGTCTGACCCACCTGACTAAGCTGCTTTAAAATCTTTGGTTGTTTTCTAGGCTTTAGTTTTTTCTTTGGGTGTTGTTATTGTTTCAAAACACTATTGTTATATTGTGTGTTATTTAGATTTAGTCATGTCTTCTAAATGTGTTCTTCTGTACACTTTCTTCTAAAAGGTTTAGTTTGAATAATTATGTTAACTTTATACATAATTTCTGTACATTGCATTCTTCTGTACACTTTCTTCTGTTAACTTCATACATCATTTCTGTACATTGCATTTTTCTGTACACTTTCTTCTGTTGACTTTATACATCATTTCTGTACATTGCATTCTTCTGTACACTTTCTTCTGTTGACTTTATACATCATTTCTGTACATTGCATTCTTCTGTACACTTTCTTCTGTTGACTTTATACATCATTTCTGTACATTGCATTCTTCTGTACACTTTCTTCTGTTAACTTCATACATCATTTCTGTACATTGCATTCTTCTGTACACTTTCTTCTGTTAACTTTATACATCATTTCTGTACATTGCATTCTTCTGTACACTTTCTTCTGTTAACTTTTTACATCATTTCTGTACATTGCATTCTTCTGTACACTTTCTTCTGTTGACTTTATACATCATTTCTGTACATTGCATTCTTCTGTACACTTTCTTCTGTTAACTTCATACATCATTTCTGTACATTGCATTCTTCTGTACACTTTCTTCTGTTAACTTTATACATCATTTCTGTACATTGCATTCTTCTGTACACTTTCTTCTGTTAACTTTATACATCATTTCTGTACATTGCATTCTTCTGTACACTTTCTTCTGTTAACTTTATACATCATTTCTGTACATTGCATTCTTCTGTACACTTTCTTCTGTTAACTTTATACATCATTTCTGTACATTGCATTCTTCTGTACACTTTCTTCTGTTGACTTTATTCATCATTTCTGTACATTGCATTCTTCTGTACACTTTCTTCTGTTAACTTTATACATCATTTCTGTACATTGCATTCTTCTGTACACTGTGTTCTATATGCTTTTGTTTGAATAATTACACTTGTTTTTCTAAATAATAAACAGTTGTTATATTTGTGTTCTCTCAGATATTCTCCTATCGTATTGCAGCTGGGTGTGCCCCCCATGGAGTTCAGTACTCCAGTTTCATGAAGTCCCTCTATGAGGTTTGTATGAGCTTTGCATTTGCTAGTTTTGTGTTTGATTCTTCCTAACCCTTTTCTAACGACCATCATACTTCATTCTGTTGCTGTTAAATTATACTTACACTGGGATTCTTTGCAATTCATTGTTGTCAGTTGAGTATTTTCAAGAACTTGACAATGGCAATCCTAACATGAGATTGTGAATTATGAACAATCACAGAACAGTTAATAGGGAAGCTACAGGACTGTGCTTTTATGGAGGAATTAGATATCTTTGTCACCCAGTTAGTGAAGCAATGTTTTAGAACATTGAGACAGTCACCCAGTTAGTGAAGCAATGTTTTAGAACATTGAGACAGTCACCCAGTTAGTGAAGCAATGTTTTAGAACATTGAGACAGTCACCCAATTAGTGAAGCAGTTTTACAGAAGAATGGGAACTTCAGTTCTGTTGACAAGAGATGGGGGCACTTGTGGAGCTGTGTGTGGAGTTTAGTGGCAAGAGATGGGGGCACTTGTGGAGTTTAGTGGCAAGAGATGGGGGCACTTGTGGAGTTTAGTGGCAAGAGATGGGGGCGCTTTGTGTCACACACACAGGCATTCTTCCAGTAGCTAGCTCAAATACTGACTTATGTATTGTTCTGTTTGCCTGTCTCATCGACAGCTAATGTGTGTGTCTATCCTCTCCCATTAGGAATCTTTCTCAAAAAGTGCCTGAGATTTCAGAACCAATGGTTAATGTTAAGAATGAACTTCCTCCTTTTATCAACTGTAAGCAGTCTTGTAGAGTTGTGTGTTGCCTATTTCACATGATCCCTCTCTCAGCTGGTTTTGAAGTTGCTGGGTCAGAAAAGTAGTGTGTGTCTGCCCACCAGAACATCAGTATTTGGCTGAAATAACACAAAACCAAGCTGCAAGTCATCAAGTTGTATGTTCACTGACATTATATTTTCTTTTTGCAGTCTGATATTCTACTCAACAAAAAAATGTTAGCACAACTGTCGACTTATGAGCCACGGACATTTCAGGTGATTCTGCTAGTTTGTTATAGATAGTTTTTGTTTTCTGTGTACTGTTGGTCAGTTTTACTTTGACTTCATCGTGGGTATTCATTGTCTTACAACACAGCCATTTTGGGAGGGTGGGGATGGTGCAGTTTCCAGCCGTGGGGTGGATCTCTACTGTCAGAATGGGCCAGTGACAAGAGGGACCAGTCTCTGGGGTGTGTATTTCTAGTGCATGTGTGCCGGCTGGACAGTTTGTGTCCTTTCAGGGGTCGCTGCGATGTAGGTTGCCTTCAAGATCTACACATAGTCTCATGGAGTTGTTGGGTTATGTATTAAAGCTTTGTATGTTCTAAGTCATAACATACTGGGTGGGGTGTTTCAAATGATAAAACTCAGTTGTCATCCCTTTGCACTGGACATTGAGTTTCAAATGATAAAACTCAACTGTCATCTCTGTGAACCAAATATTGATTAAGTTTCAAAGTACGCTTGTAACAACACTTGAAACTTGTGAAAATCCTTGAATGGCAGATGTGCGTTTGAATTTGCCCTTGAGCATGACAAATTCACTTGATGTTTGTCCGTTAAAATGAGAGAATGAGAAATATAAGAAACGGCATCAGAAGACCTGTCATTTTCAGCGGTTTGGCTAAATTTCACTTCCTTCGTTTGATGTGTTTGTGGTTTCTTGTAAGTAGTGGGCAAGCAGTTGATTGAGCATCTGTTTATTCTTCTGTTTTGTGTATGTGTGTGTTTTTTGGAGGGACTTCATTGTGAATTTTTAATAAGTACTGGTGCTGTGGCCTACATTTATGACATGGGTGGATGCTGTTTTCAGTGGATTGTAGAATTACTTTACTATAAAAAATTTGATAGCTGTTGGGAGCAGCAAAAATCACGCAAAATGCAAGAAAGACACAGGCTTGATGAGTTCGCATTGTGTTGATTTAGTGGTGAGCAAGCACCAAGGAGTGAGAAAGCTGACTTCAGTTTGCTCCTATCTGTCACATCTAAAAAAAAAAAAAAACATGTAAAAACACTTTAACTGTTTGTGTGTGTATCCACACATGTGTGCATGAATAAAGTACTTGATATGCCTGGAACATCCTTGAACAAGGCACAAATACCTAGACAAATGTTGGTGAATTAGGCTACAAACTCTTGAAATGATGAAAGCCAACTGTCATCTGTGTGTGCCAGACATTGATTTAGTTTCAAAGGGCACTACTCAGTTATAATCAACAGATCAGACAAGTTCAAGAGGGGCTTGAAATACAAATCTGAGATGTTTTATTTGCATGAATCAATTCTGAAGGAAAATGTAGTCATTACTGTTTTCAGTGCTCCAGCATTGATAGCATGGTTGGGTTACTGTAGTGTTTGTGTGTGTGTGTGCACTCCCTCACCACCTACTGTACGTTTTCATCAGACCGATGTCCAAATACAGCAACGTCAGTTAAGGAATCTTCATTGCTTTATGGTTGAAGCTTCTTCTCTGCATTAACTGTCTGTAACTTTAGTGGAAACCTTTGGTTGTTTGTCCATTTCTGAGCTTTGGTCTTGGTCCAGAACTTGAGTTTTGCGTGCACATGTTTGACAGATCTGACTCAGATTTGACAACACTACAATTAAAAGCTGTTGTAACCCTGCTGGGAAATGTCAACTACAAATATCAGGCATGTGAGTGATCAGTAACAATTTCAGCCTGAAATTGTAACTAACATTGTGAACAGAGAGTAGGGTATCTGGAGTCTTGAAGTTTGATGTTTCCAACTTGTGTTTTCAGAGTCTTTGTGAACTTGTGAAGACCAAACATACAGAATCTGTGCAGAAAGGACTAGCTTCAGCCTTGGGATCCACTCCAAGTGGGGTTATCACCAGGGACATGATCAAAAAAGTCAAGCTGTCCTAGGTTGTTGGTTTATGCGATGTGTCTGGTTGATGTGTGGTGTGTCAGGGTGGTTTATGTGGTATGTTTGGTTGGTTTTTGTGGTGTCTGGTTGGTTTGTGTAGTGTGTTTTGGGAGGTTTATGTGATCTGGAATTCATCTAATGAAGATAAGTATATGGTAGATGTGATCAAGCAATTGAATGAGCAGTGCACACATTCACAGGGACAGCTAGTGATAGTTGTGTGCTGTGATGATCTAGTGAATATCTGTACATGGAACACATGGTCTGTCACTTGTGTGCTGTGATGATCTAGTGAATATCTGTACATGGAACACATGGTCTGTCACTTGTGTGCTGTGATGATCTAGTGAATATCTGTACATGGAACACATGGTCTGTCACTTGTGTGCTGTGTGATGGTTTAGTGAATATACGTACATGGAACACATGGTCAGTCACTTGTGTGCTGTGATGATCTAGTGAATATCTGTACATGGAAGACATGGTCAGTCACTTCTGTGATGTGATGATCTAGAGAATATATGTACATGGAAGACATGGTCTGACACTTGTGTGTTGTGATGATCTAGTGAATATCTGTACATGGAAGACATGGTCAGTCACTTCTGTGATGTGATGATCTAGAGAATTTATGTACATGGAAGACATGGTGTGTCACTTGTGTGCTGTGATGATCTAGTGAATATTTGTACATGGAACACATGGTCTGTCACTTGTGTGCTGTGATGATCTAATGAATATCTGTACATGGAACACATGGTCTGTCACTTCAATTTCACTGAGAAGGAGAATTATAGTTTTAAAGAATTGGCCTCCTTGCCTGAGACTTCAAATAAAAATCCTGTGTATATCACTGTTTTCTGTGATGATTATATTTCATCCATTATTTGATTTAATCATTGAATGCTCTCTTCCTCAGGTTAACCCAAATGGAGGTTTGTGAGAGAGATAAGGATCTTTTACGTGCTGTTCTTGTCTCTTGGCCTAACTCTTGCTCTGACAGCTAGTACTGGGTCATTCTTGTCTCATGACCTGAGCATTCGTTCGTTCGCGTTCACCAGCTGTACACTTTGGCGTAAAGTTCTGGTTGTTCGTCCACTTCTGGACTGCAGTCCTGCTCCAGAACCTGAGTGTTGTGTGTGCATCAGTTTTACAGATCTGATTCAATTGAATGTCGACTGCTGGTTCCTTGCCTCTCAGGCAGATGCACTCCGACTTCAAAGAAAGCTCCATAGTTGACTCTTACGACAAGCTTTTGGGGAGGCTGTGGGTCTTGTTTTCCCCACAATAGGGCCCTGGAACCCACTTGAGACCTGACCATTTAAACTTGTTCTGACAGCCAGTACTGGGACATTCTTGTCTGATGGCCTGGCCATTGAAACTCTTGCTCTGACGTCCGGTGCAGGGACTTGTCTTATGACCTGACCATTAACACTTGCTCTTTAGAATGTAAATTTCTCTGAATTATGTCCACATCAGTGCTAGCTGATCCATCTAAAATTCAAATTTTTCTGTAGTCATGTCTAGGTAATACTCAGCATTTGATCAATCTCAAGACGTTTTGTTGCAGTCATCCAGTCATGTAGATAAGATATACTCAACAGCTGATCAACTCAAAGAATTTTATAGTCATTCAGTAATTTCCCTTCACTTTCTCCTCCAAGGTATCAGTTGAGAGCTTCATTGCCTCTGCATTTATCCCATATGGCTTAGTCTCTATCTCTCTCCCTTTACCATCAATTTGACCAGTTAATTGTCAAAAGTGCCGTACAAAGCACAAACTGCAATTCCAATTTCTTGGGAGCATGAGGCATGCTGCTTCACAGTTCAACCATAGGGACTCTGCTGTCTTTATTTCTTAGCAGCTCTGTCGCTGTCTCTCTTCCCTCCCTTCTCTCTCTTTTTTTTTTTCTCTCTCTTTCTTTTCAACCTTTCTCTCTCACTCTCTCTGTGCTCCAGTATTCTTTTATGCACATGTAAAGTCTCTTCTAGGACATCCTGCTTTTCTCTGGCCCAGTAATGTCAGCAATAGATCTATTGTCTTATTATTGTGAAGCTAAAATGACCTTATTACACATTGTGTCCAGTAGTTGTCCAATTTCTCATTCTACAAACCTGACCTCATTGCGTATAGTGTCCAATAGTTGTCCCTTTTCTCATACCACAAACATGACCTTCCACATAGCGCCTAATAGTTTTCTGTTTTCTCAGACCACAAACATGTCCTCATTACATATAGTGTCCAGTAGTTGTCCATTTTCTCATACCACACATAGTGTCCGGTAGTTGTCCATTTTCTTATACAAAACATAGTCTGTTTTCTTATACCACAGACATGACCTCATAACATATAGTGTCCGATAGTTGTCAATTTTCTCATACCACAAACGTGACCTTATTACATATAGGGTCCGATAGTTGTCAATTTTCTCATACTGTCTATAATATCCAATAGTTGTCAGTTTTCTCGTACCAACTGTATAGTTCTCTGTTTAGTTTTCCAATAGTCATCAATTTTCCTATACAACAAACATGACCTCATTATGTATAGTGTCAGGAACACGTAGCGTTAATCTCCCCACGCCCTGCAAGGTAAGGGGGTGTTTCGATATACCTTTGGTATCGCGTGTTATATGTTTAAGCACTCCAAAAACATGGCCCTAACACAACCTCCTTAGAAAGTGCTGCAACCTATGTCTCAGGCATTCTTTTTCTCAGAATGAAAACATAAATGCAAGATAACACAGCAAGCAAACAACAGAGCAAGATACACCTGTAACTTTCAGGAAAGTCGACCAGCCCAACAAACTTGTAAATAAAAAGTGACCTACTCTTTTTGGGGAGATTTACATTACGTTAACCCAGTGTTCAGTAGTTGTTAGTTTTCTCATACAACATATAGTGTCCAACAGTTGTCAGTTTTCTCACACCACATATTGTGTCCAACAGTTGTCACTTTTCTCACACCACATATTGTGTCCAACAGTTGTCACTTTTCTCACACCACATAAAGTGTCCAACAGTTGTAGTTTACTCACACCACATATAGTGTCCAACAGTTGTCAGTTTTCTCATACCACATATAGTGTCCAACAGTCGTCAGTTTTCTCACACCACATATAGTGTCCAACAGTTGACAGTTTTCTCACACCACATATAGTGTCCAACAGTTGACAGTTTTCTCACACCACATATAGTGTCCAACAGTTGACAGTTTTCTCACACCACATATAGTGTCCAACAGTTGTAGTTTTCTCACACTACATATAGTGTCCAACAGTTGTCACTTTTCTCACACCACCACATATAGTGTCCAACAGTTGTCACTTTTTTCACACCACATATAGTGTCCATTTTCTCACACCACATATAGTGTCCAACAGTTGTCACTTTTCTCACACCACATATAGTGTCCAACAGTTGTCACTTTTCTCACACCACATATAGTGTCCAACTGTTGTCACTTTTCTCACACCACATATAGTGTCCAACAGTTGTCACTTTTCTCACACCACATATAGTGTCCAACAGTTGTCAGTTTTTTCACACCACATATAGTGTCCAACATTTGTCAGTTTTCTCACACTACATATTGTGTCCAGTTGAACACAAACTTGGCCTTGTGAATAGTGTGACGTAACGGATGTGGGTTTAATGATTTATATGTTGAGTAGGGATTTTCCTCTTAACACATCCCCTCCACCAGATTAACTAGACTAATATCTGAGCTATGTTGCTCTCAGACAAAGTCCTGGATATCCAAGAAAACTGCCATATTGGCTCGTTAATTACTTTAATATTAGCTGCACTTGGTACCCACAAGAGAAGGAAAGGAGTTTTAGATGTCTGTATCATTATACTGAATGAATTATTCGACAGGGCAAATGACCCCTTCCCCCCAACCTTCTCCCGGTATTAATAATTAAAGAATTATTGATAATATTTGAGCCCCCACCAAATGGTATTCTGTCTTAACAGTTTAATTAAACATGTACGAACAGACACATTTGGAATTACAAAAACTGATGCAGGATAAGACCATATATTTGATTTATTAACCTAGCAATCAGTGGATGACATTAGTCATCATTATTATTATAGACAGTGATGGTATGGAATGAGAGGCTTCATCTAGATAACTGAGCACCTAAGCTTAGAGTGAAGTGATAATGGTGGTGATAAGTTTACACTCATAAAACATAATGGTACATAACTTATTCATAGAACCTCTGACAGCCGTGAGCACTGTCAAGCTCTTCCACCTTTTCCTCCCAGTTCATCTGGTTCTCCACCTCTTTCCCAGCTGGCCGAGTTCTAACATAATGTAGTCTTGTTTACGTGATGACCATCTATTTCTGTTCTCAGAATGGACCGGTTATCACCCACATGAGCGCTGTAATAATGGAAACAAACACATACGTTTAGTATCTTGACTTAAACTAAGAATACATGTATCAATTAATATGATATATAATAATAAAATATATCTCATCACTCCTCATATTCCACATTCTCTGCAGTCTAGTCTGAAGGTCTTATGTCTTACATTGAAGTCACATATCCTGACTTCCCTCTCATGTTCTGTCATGATAGTTGACTTTCTAAGACTGTGGTCCGTCATCACTCAGACTTCCAACTGGCTGACATTGTTTTGACATAAACAAGTGGCGCAGGTTATGTGCTGAACACGCAAAACATTTTATACGTGCATGCTGTCCTGAATATTATCTTTCAGTGACAGTGAATAATATACACTCATGATTCTTCCCCTGGGGTTATAAATCCCCTGTTTAGGTGAGCACATGGTGGGCACACAAAACGTAACAGCATGGCTGCATATGTGGGCATCATTTCCCACAGTCCAAACTCATGTTTTGGTTTATGGTTGAAACATTATAATTCAGTATACAAGTCTTATTTTATAAACATGAAAACATATACTGAAAAACATGTGGCACAAACATAAAGAAATAGAAATGGTTTAGCAGTTCCCTAACGG